TATAGGCCCCTCACTACACTTGAAAGTGTCCACTGATTACAGAAAGAAAACTTTCTGTGTAATCTACATCTGCTGTATTTGTTTATGTGAAGACTTACAGGAGACAGTTTGCTGGTAGTTTCAGAATAAATGTACAAAATAGCTTCATCCTAAATGTTTGGAACAAAATATGAGGAAAAAATACTGCCATTGCGAAAGTGTAGGATGAAAACCCAATTGTCATCTTAATACAGGGCAAGTGCTTTTCAATGTTTGTTTATCTCATCCCTCATATTCCCATGACTATAATAATCATCTTCTCCAAGATAGTATTTTCATTGAATTATTACATGTGTAACTAACAGTCTTCCTTTTTTTTTCTTTTTAGTTTTTAAGAGGGCTGTTATACTGGTGTATAAAGAGAACTACAAACTGAAAAAGAAAATGGTGAGTCTGATATCAGTGTAGGTGGTGGGTATTTATGATACTACTGCAATGTGAGATCCTGGTGTGAAAGGGGAAACGCCACCTTCTCTCACTAGGCTGGAATTCTGACTATCCCAGCTAAAACAAGTGCTCAGTATCTGTGTAGCAATAAATATATTTTTTTGTTGTTGATTGGTAAGCAGCAGCATCTTCTCTGTGTGAGCCCCATGTTAGTTCTGTCAGGTGGAATATGAAACACTACCATGTAGAAATCATTAATTCTTCCAGATGGCATTTATGATGGTCTACCTTAACACGGTGTGTAGATGAAAGACCTCGGTTTTATAGACCCTTGATCACCCTAGAAGGAAAGGAAAAAGGACATTATAAACATAACCTTCTCTGTCCCCACTTACAAACCTAGAATGCTGAAGTCAGGTAGCAAGTTGTATATCCCAAGTACCAATGGTGATGTACTGAGCCATGCTTATTGTAACAGAAGGAGGGGCTCTAAAAGCAGTAGCAGCTACATGATTAATGTATTCTTTTAATCAACAGTCTGCATGTTCTTTCATGGGAAACTTAGCAGTATTTATATGCAAGGTATTATTTTTATCCATTAAAATCAAACGGTTTTAAAAGTTGAAGCAATTAAAAATTCCAAAGTTTTTGTCAATCACCATTTCAACTACATTTACAAGCACATTTTAAGGGACTGAAGGAAAGTCTAATGAATTTAGTTTCTCTTCAGAAGCACATCTTTTAAGAGTAACACAAAACACTACTACTTTTTTTCTTTTACTTCTTAGAAATATGCTTGTTGTTTTTCTTTTTGCAGCCTACTAATGTTCGTGCTGCACATAATTATGGGGACTTGGATCCATTTAAATTTCGTTGGCTGATTCCTTTATCTGCTCTTCAAGTTCGACTGGGGAACACAGCAGGTAACTCTCTTGCTCTAAATACTTTAGTATTGAATGCTTTTCTGGGATTCTGTAATACTGCTTCTTCCATATGTCTTTCTGGAGCCTCTGGGAGCAGGCAGGTGTAGAGAAAATACTGTGCACTCTTGTCTCTGCACTCGGGGGGTACAGGCTTGAAACATGTACATTTCTTAGTTTGCTATGTTGACTTCTTCCATGAGTTCAGGAAGATGTGAAGGAATGACAGAATAGAAATCCCCAATAACAGGAAAGTGATTTACCATAGTTGACATCCTAGTAACACCCTGATGCTGTGTGTGTGTGCTGATCCTTGTGTTTTTCCAAACAGGGGAAAGCTGACTTTAATTTGTGGTAGTAGAGGCCTGTGTTTTTATTTTCAAGTCAATCTTTACGCTCCTATCCATTTCTATATGTTCTATAAAGTGTCACAAGTTCTTTAAACAAATAAATGCTTTGCACACCTGGGTGAAGGCATTTTAGAGCTGGAAGGCACGGAGGAGCAGGAAGACTAGGGGAAAGCAACCCTTCAAGAGAGAAGTTATCAAAGGCAGCGCTAGGCAACCTCAAGAGGAGTGCTCAGGAGACTTTTGGTTGCATTCCATCTTGGGTGAGATCTTTTATGGATATACACATGGCTATGTTAACACTGCCTTCAGGAGTGAGGAGCTTGGTCTTTCTAATGCCAAAGGTTTTGTGAAGTATATACTACAAGTAACCGTTTCCTTCCATGCACAGGAACAGAGAACAGCTGTATCTGGGAACTGATTCACACCAAGTCAGAACTAGAAGGCAGGCCAGAAACAATTTTTCAGCTGTGCAGCAGGTAAGCTTTACGTGGAGATTATATTTCACAAATCACATTAATGGAATTAAAAAAAAGTTTTCCCCTGTGTGACCTTTCCATCAGCAGTTTTAATGCAGCACTCACTCTTTGAAGCCAGGCACTACACCAGTGTTTAAGTGCATAAAGTGTAACAAATCCAAGTGGGAGTGAGTTTGGTGCAGTGATCCAACATCAGAAATCTGCACACATATATTAGCATAAGTTCCAGTACAGTATGGACAAAGTAATTATCAGACTCTCAGCTGTTAGCAGAAATTAATTTCTTATAAAGAACCACTTAAGGTGGCGATTCCTTGGTACAGAATTTACCTGTCAACTTGTTTTCTAAGAGGAAGTAACCAAGATCTCAAAACGCAAGGTATGTGAAATGCCTAAAATACGTTAAGACATCCGTACACATGTCAGGAGGGTTGGAATTTGATGATCTTTGAGGTCCTTTCCAACCCAAAACATCCTATGATTTTGTGACTAGATGCAAGCCCACTATCAATATAAGCTATCAAAAAACCCACTGCAATAAAATACATCAGCAGAAAGGAAGGGGGCAGATTTTATCCCAGTGTCTTATTTCAGAGGGGAAAATTAAGTTCTATTTTTTTTTTTAACTTGCAGTGATTCTGAGAACAAGAGTAACATTGTAAAGGTGATCCGTTCTATTTTGCGGGAGAATTTCAGACGTCACATAAAATGTGAGCTACCACTGGAGAAAACTTGTAAAGATCGCCTCGTCCCACTCAAAAATCGTGTACCTGCAACAGCCAAATTGGGTAAGAAACACCTTCTCAAAGTGAAAAATAGTCTGGACTCCAGTTCTGGCAGAAGGTTTGCAATTATTACCATGACTGTAGAGTGCCATGTGTCAGACCCGCAAATCTCTGTCTTTATTTAGGCTGGGAAGGTGGTAGTTTCTCCACCACTCAGTGAGTGACCACTCAGTGGGCTAAAGGAGATAAGTAAGTTTGCTATCCCCCCTCCCCACACTGTGATGTGTCATTAGCTCTCTACAGGGAAGACTTAATAAGGCCCAAATTAATTTTGCTGGGAAGGAACAGATTCCCTTTGGCATGGTATTAGTGTTCTTTCCCTTAAGTAACTCAGGCCTAATACCATTTATAGCTAAAACAACCTGAAAAAGGCAGGGGTCTTGATTTTTTCAGTGCACTAAATCTGCATCCCAGTAAATATTCTAATTAAGTATAGGCTTCAGACATTTCAGTTAAATGAGTAGCTACTGGTATTTCAAGTTTTCTTTCTCATCAGTCCTCCATAAAATCCCATTAACATCACAGGATCTGGAAGAGTTCAACTTCTGCCTACATTCTGGCCCTCCAGTGCCTGAGGTGCTTGAATCAGTTGTTCTTTCCTGCGGAAGTGTGTAATTTATGACTACAATTTGTGGAGGATTTTTTACGTATTACATAGGAAGGTCAGCACATAGCTCTGGGAGTAGTTGTAATGAAAACTGTGGCATGGGATCACACTGTCAGTATCAGAGTGCTGGCACATCTGACTTGGGATGATTATCAAATGAGACTACATACACTGTAATGATATGTGGGCTATTGAGGCAGAAGGTATAACCAGCTAATGTTTTGGTGAAAAAAATAAATCTGCATTTTTCCTCTGCACAGCTTCCACAAGGTCCTTGAAGGTACTGAAGAATTCATCCAGTAGTGAGTGGAATGGTGACCCAGGGAAAGGTACCTTCCAGGACTCTGATGAGTGCAGCCTGAGCAGCAGTACTCAGAGCAGCAGCTGCCACACTTCTGAGAGCATACAGGAGCCCAAAAACTCATCTCCCAATAAACATGTAGAGAGCTGTGCATCCGACTTTTCCAATGTTCTTGTCAAGGAATCTGACATTCTCAGTGATGATGAGGAGGAGGATTATCAGAACCTAAAGAAGGGCAGTCCTACAAAAGACATTGAAATACAGTTCCAGCGGCTGAAGATTTCAGAGGAACCCAGTACTGACTCTGAGCGGGATCAGGCTGCTGAAAATGAGGAAGGAGATGGCTTTGAGATAGGACAGCACCCAAAGCTTGTGCGTGGCCATTTCTGCCCAGTGAAGAGAAAAGTAAACAGCACAAAGCGTAACAGAGGAACTTTAATGGCAATGCAAGAACGTCACCAGTCCCTTGACAGTCACTCTGACGCTGCAAACCTGGATCTGAACTCTATTTTAGAGAGAGAATTTAGTGTTCAGAGTTTAACCTCAGTAGTTAATGAGGATTGTTTTTATGAAGCTGTGGAGAGACATGGAAAATCCTAGCTTTCTAAGCACTATATTTAAAACATTCATTTGAAGTCCACATAAAATTCAACAAACATTTTGTTTTAAAACTAGTAAATTCATGGAAGCTGCAGGAAAACTACTATCTGATTTTGTGCACTAATACATTTTTCCACAAAAACAGCTGTAAAGGATTCTTAAGTTATTTTAATTTATTGTGGATCAAAAATAGATTAAGTTGGCCAAGGTCTGTAAATTAGTTCATCCCTTTCAAGCAGTTATTAAGATGATGTAGTGTTCTTGGGGATGGCCTCATTAGTATTTTAAGGAATGTGGAAAAGGTGCTAGTGAGTGGCAGAGGGGTTTACAACGGGAAGTAGCATTGCAAAATTAATTTTCAATACCTTGGGCATTTTATTTCTTTGGTTTTCATGTTTGCTTTATTTAAAGCAGAATTAAGTTATTTTAATGTGTTTTAGTGCACAACAGTGCAGAAGTTTCACTTTGTATGTTTCAGTGCTGTTTATACTTTATACATATGTGTAAATACAAAAACAAAGCTTGGCCTGTAATCTTTTATTTGACTGTATTTTTTATTTTCTCTACCAGCCTGTACAGTAAAAGACAAATAAGTATTGTACTTAGCCATGTTTTCTTCTTTTTATTGTGCTGCTTTTCTCTAGCTGGAGCTTTAAATACCAAATTCTTTGCTTCGGTATAAATGAGAAGAGTATTAGCAGACCTTGAGGCAATTGGTGCACTTTATCCTCCCATAAGCCAGTCACTTGAGCGTATTTATAAAAGCCTTGGCCTCTATTTTTTAGATTACTCTGTACAGTAGGATGTTCCAGGATAAAAAAAAGCACAAAAACCCAAACACCGTATTACATGCTGAAGTATGAAAAGTATTTTTCTTACATTTCAGTAATGCACTTTCATTCATACAAAGCTCAATTATTTCAGAATTATTACAACTTAATTACCTGTCTCACAACATACCTTGTTTCCTGGTATGTGTTCTAGCCATTCCCCTGAAGTAAAAATAATCTGGACTGCCTTTTCCCTTTTGTCTACAGCGGAATGGAATAGAGAGAGCTGCCCTCTCTCTTTACTTTCTCAAAGGTAGTTCTTTCTTTCATACTCGTGCAGATGTAGGAATATAGAAGCCTCCTTTTACTGAATCAACACCTCTGGATCAAGGAGTTAAAACTAATAAAAAAATCAGTCTGCTGCAATTACAACTGTTATAGCTGATCTTCCTCTTCAGTCTGTTCAGGCTGACTAGTGCTTTTAAGTAAATTCCTTGTCTTCTTCTTTTGCTTTAGTTCTTCTCTGTAGTTGAACGCAAAAAGAGTTGGGTCTTCATCACACATTTTCCTGTATGTATTGCACAGATTTCTAAACTGTGACATGGAGAGCTGGAAAGGACGCAAAGTTGGATCAACATTTGCTGTCATCATCAGCTGTTCTGTTCTTTTCAAACGTCCACTTTCAGGAAACAAGGTCCTAGAAGGTGTGGGGAGAAAAAAACCCAATTTCAAAAAATTCAGACAGACAATTAAGTTTCCCTTAAGAGTAACAGAGAATTTACTTAATATAGGTTTACTATTAGCTATGGTCATTATTTTAGCTCTGGCACTCTTAATACAACTCATTATCTAAGCAAATGGAAACATATGGGGGTCCTTCTTCTGCAAATGCACATTATGACACCATAGGAAGGCACATACATGAATATATTAAACACATGCAGGTATGGTCCTGTTTGCTAACATTAAAAAGAGCTTTGGGTACGGATACAAGCACAGAAGCTTCTTAGAATTAGTCTCATATTTAGAAAGCAACAACAGATTAAACTGTGCAAAACAGATCAGAGCCAAACCGTATGATTTCTTTCAGACCGTTTCATTCCAATTGGAAAGATATTTGTTATCACTTGTCATTAATATCATCATTCTAATGCCAGGAAAAAAAAGGCCAAGAAGTAGAAAAGAGTATTTAATTAACCATTCAGTTTTTAATATTTAGAACCTGGAAAATATGGCAAGAGTCCTAAATTTTGGGTTCAGCTCTGTCATTCTTTATAGAAAGGCATGGTTTATGTGCGTGTCTCAATTTTCAAGTTGTATCTATGATACTTACATAGTATCTAAAAACATTGTGCACCTATTACAGTAACACTCCCATATGCCAAATGTGTTGGCTAGACAAACTAATCAAAAAGCTCTGTATAACCCATTAGTTCAGCATCCCTCAAATTATTCTTTGATTGGGCAGTTAAAAGACATACCTGGAGCCAGAATTTACAGACAAACGTAAACTGATTCTATACCTTGTTTTTATACACTGTATGTGATAGATAACCTTAAAATGAACTTAGCAGCTTTATTATATGCCAAAATCTGCTATTTTTTTCAGGTCAGCTAAATAGTAAGAGGATTGTGTTTCTTAGCTGCATACTAGGGGCTAAAGTATGATAAGCTGCTAGGGAATACGTGACGTCCAAAAGTTCAGATTCCCCCTCCTTGCCTCAAAAGAATGTAAAGCAGTTATTAGCAATTTGAGATTACACAATAGTTGGGTTTCTTTTTTTTTCAGCGTTGGCAAAAATACTGAACATAACATAGACATGCTGATTACACATGCCTTCTGCTTACACTGTCACTGAAACATTCTTTCACACACAAAAAAAAAAAGAAAAAAAGAAAGCCGCCACCACCACCCCGTAAATCAAATACAAATCAGTCTAGACTTTGGATACTTCTTTTTCTAAACACCTCCAAATGCATACTCGAATGTTAACACAGGCAAATCAGTACTCATTTCATATCCAGTGTCTGCATCCCAGACATCAGTGGCATTCATGGCCTCAAGAAAAAAACAAAAAACCAAAACTAGAGGCAAAATTCTTTGTTCACCTTTAAAACAGTGACACATAAGGCTTGTAGTTCAGTAAGGTGGTATCCACTCTAATTCTAGACTGAATCATTGCCAACTATGCCCAACAAATTCAGCTAGCCCAAGCTGCAGGAGCATCCTTCTAGTCCTAACAGCATCTGTCACAATTTCTACAGTGCTGAGTGCTGGGTTTTGCCCACACCAAGTCAGACACATGGCTATGCTGGAGTTTTAACAGGACCTCTGGTGAAGAGACTACAGGTTTCTCACATCAGAGAACCTAGTAAATTCCCTCAGTAAGACATGGGGAGTAAGTAAGACATAAAAGAGCCAGTAAGAGCTCAATAATAGGGCAAGCACAGAAACAATAATTTGACCTTTTGACATTATCCCCAAATAAGTAAAATTTGCCACAGATGATGCTTTCTTCAAACTTCCATCAAAACCTCCTCACACTGCCATCTTTGATTCTGAATTTTGATACTTTTGGTTTTTAACTTAATCATATTGTAATTTTTGTGGTTGGACTGGGTTATTTTCATTTCTGAGACAGATAAACTATTGAAAAGATGACCAATTTATTCTAGCAATTTCAACTTCAACTGCACTAACAAAAATGCCACGAAATTATTACATAATTACATCAGAAAGATATTAATCTCTGAATTTGTCTTCAGAAACCATTCTGAAATGGAAAACTCTAATGAACTATGATAACAAATATAAAATGGTAGGAATAAAATCAAATGCATAGCTAACTGATTTAGTAGCTGATGCATTTATGAAAACATTATCTGAGAATTTTTCATTATAAATCCTTACTCAAGTCCACGGAAACAGTATTTTCTTCTAAACTGGAAAACACTTCGAACCACTTTTTCTACTAGCTCGAACGGCTGCTGTATCTTTGGTTGCACCAGTGGAGTGAAATGCACCACAGCCACATCCACCTACATGGAAAGAAAGATAAATTTGAGTACACATATTCCTCTGGGGTACACATTACTTCTCAGTTAACTGGCCAGACATCAGAAAAAAGGCACAATATAGGAAGACAATATTGTGACAGGTAACACAGCTGCGCAGTGACCAATGTCGTAGTATTGAATACAAAGATATAAAGATTTAGCTTTCAAGGCCCTATATAATTTTAATCTTAGTTATCTACATATTTCCAATTAGTTCAGATGCCATTAGTACTTGGTTCTTTTTTCCCCACGGCATTTCCTCCATCTAAAGCAACTTCCATGTAATCTGGAAAGTAATTAGCACTTCTGTCTTCAGATCCTTCCACGAGACAATTCTGACATAATACACAAATTAGACAATATTTGATATACAGGCTGAAGGGCAGCTGGAGAAAATTGGTATTATAATTAGAAATCAAACCCATTCCCTGTATGTTTTCTGTTGCTCTAGGGCTTTTCTAAAATGTAAGCCAAGGAATTACTTTTCAACATACTAAGATTTTAAAATGCTAGCCTATTTAAAGGAATGGTAGGTAAAATAAGTTTGCACTCAGCATAAGTGACCACACAACTCTGTATTTACACTGTGTATCACACTTAATCCAAAATTATGTTTGAACGATTCTACACAGGTGAGCTTGTAAATATTCTCTTACAGTTCTAAAATCAGCTTGGCTCACAGAATAGTCACCTTTCCTGTGTCTGAAAACAGACTGAGATTATATGTGCACATTTTATGGTTTTTATATGTATAAATCTATATGTGATGCAACTACAGAGACACTGTATTATATAGAAATGCCCTGAATTCAGACATCTGCATTAAAAAACAGTGGGCTAAAAATCCAGTTCTGCACAGCAATGAATACATAAGTTCGTCTTCCAAACTAGATTTTAACAATAAAAAGGAAAAAAATTCTGTGGAAGTGCCCACTGAAAATTTGTAGAATTTGTACAAGTACTGGTACTGAATGACTAAAAATCTTTTTAAGTACTGGATTTTAAAAGATATTCAGTCTCTTATTAAAACAGTCTGTTAATATGATGGACAATCATTCATTTTTTTAAAAGGCCTGACAGCCAATATTGACATTCATAGAACAGATTCTATGTGACATTAAACTGCACAGTCCAAAGAACAGCTGCTGCTCTAAGCACACACTGTACCAATTGAGATAGCCCAGATCATGTGAGTACTTAAAGGGTTTTTCATACTGCTTCGACCAAACCTGCGCATAGCAACCTCTGATGTAGACATGTTCTTCTGACATAAAGGTACTATCCATCCAAATTATTCTTTCAGTGGGAACAGCTCAGCTGTCAAGTACACCTACCCAGTACAACTGTTTCAACACACAAAGTACTATATTTCAATAGAATCATAAAATCCCAACAGCATTAGGTTTTTCATGTAGGCAGAACTTACAAAGCTGAACAAACATACTGGCTAGAGAAAGGAAAGAAAATACCAATTAATGGTATTTTCTGATGGAAAAAAAGAAAAAGAAACACAGCAAATTTCCAGCATTAGCACTACTGATCTCAAGTTTATGTTACTGAATGGTTTTTCTGTACTTGTCCACCTTTTTTGAAAGCTAGAGTTAAGAGAAAGGCAGAAAAAGTACTTAAAATTACTAAAATGTGAAGGACAAAAACTTATTTAAAATCAGGTAACAAAGAAAACTTGACATATGGAATCTGCAGTGAAATGCACATACATGTATTTTCCAAAGCATATTTTTTAATTTTTCAAGTATTCATAGCCTTCTGCCTTTGCCATAGGTTGCTGTTACCTATGAGGAAGACCACAGGAATACAGAAAAAACTTGTGTTCACAATAAGTGTAAGAAAAGTTAATCTTTTCGCACAGAGAAAGTATATACTTCACATGTACTAAGGACTTATTTACAAATGCATTTGTGTATTGCCAAGAAATAAAACAAAGTATTTCCCCCACAAAATTAGGGGTAAGAAAACACCCAGAGAGCCTGTGGCATCTCCTAGTCACCTCAGTTTTGCAGAACTGCTCATGAGAAATGAGGGCTCTTTGAGAGTCAGAGCTGCATCTTCAACAAAAATTTCTAAAGGAGAAAAAACCACAATCTAGATGCAGTGTACCGCTTCAGAGCCAAACAGCTCAATTTGCAATCTCAAGGCCAGTGGGCAATAATTTCTGCTTCTGAAACAAAACACAGCACTTCTCAGTTCCATTACAGATGCTGTTTTCTTTGGACTCCAGGAAAGCTGCCTGGTTGCTATAGCAACAGATATAGGGGAAAGCTTTTCACTTGTAATTGGTCACTCCTTTAAAATTATACATGCTATTTTTCCCTAACCTTTTTAATATGCATAAAGAGTAGAATTATGAAAGCCAATAGAGTACACAAGTGCACTTAAAATATACAACTCAATTTGATGGCAATTTTATGAATAACACTTTTCTTTTCACCCCGCCAGGTATGTTAAAAATATTTACAAAATAGCACTCAAATCTTATAAATTAATGACTATGAAAATCATTCCACTGATCTATCCTAAACTGTCAATAGTACAGCAACTATTCACCCCTTACTGTTTTAGTGTATCTGCACAATGAAGGTTTATGTTCTGGTAGGGTGGGAGGAACACATGACAGAGTACAATTTAATGCAGACAAGTCTGCTGCCTTGCTAATGAAATCAACACTCTAAATCAGAAGAAAAAAAAAAAGAAAGAAAAAAGTGAGACAGTTTTTACTAATTGTTGACAATAAAGGTCTCATAATGGGAATTCCACACATATCTTGTGATAGGGCTGTATTAAAATCAAACCCACGTAACCTTTCCTCAAGCTGCAATTTACTCATAGGAAACTGAAACCTAAGCAGAACATATTACAACTTCATTAAAACAGACTGCTTGAGATCCTACTGAGATAGTTCTAAGCCAGCATTTTCACAAACCAAGTGTTCAACAGCAGCATTTTATCTGTCTACTACAGACAAATGTTAGGTCTAATACCAGACATGCACATTTCATGACAAGCTTGTTCCTATGCAAGTTTACTTTTGGTTCACCTCCAGCACAAAGTAACTCTGCCACTCACTAACAGCAATACTTTCTGGTTAGAACAGCTTTGTAGTAACTCCACTCACAGTAGGCTCACAAAGAGAATCACAGGAAACAAGAATTCAGGTACAGAACCTACGGGTGTATCATTGCTGTAATGAGAAAAGACTTCTCTCCTAACTTCTTCGCACACCAAGTTGTCAAGCCCGCTTCTCCAATGTGTTGCAGTTACCATATAAGCTTTATTAGCAGTTTTATTCCTTCATTCTTTTATACAGACTCATACAAAGGTAGCAAGTTATAGGATGACCTATGGAAGGCTAAAGCTATCAGGAACAGATAAGTAAAGCCTGCAGTTGAAGAGAAATGTCCTGCTGTTCCAATTCCAAATTAAAATAAATTGCACAGTTCTTTTCTAGGAAATTTAAACTTTTAATAAGATTATCTGTGATGAAAAAAACAACTGACAAACAACAAAACCCTCTGGCTCTCAGTGCAACTTAAATTATTCCCTCCCCCACTCTATAAGTCTACGGTTTCTGGATTCTCAAGATTTTACTCTGTTTACTCATTGTTCATGCTTTTCATCATAGAACCTGGACATCATTATGTATTTAGGACTAAGGGCCTCTGTCTGTTTTATTCCATAATCTCTTTGCTTTCTCTTACTGAGTGTTTTTCAAACAAAACTCACTAAACAAAGTACTCCTTTATTCTCGGGTAGATGGAACTAAGAGAGAGAACAAACAGCAGTAATGCACTTGCTGTAGAGAACAGAAAAAAAAAAAAACATTCCAAGAAATTTTGTTAATACATGCCAATGCAGTTTTATATGAGAAGGGATAGTTCCATTCAAGAGAAACTGCATTTTCCAGGACATCTACAGTGAAGAAAACATCTCAGACCTCACATCCAGCAGTAAGTCCTATACAAACAGGAATGAAACATGACTGTATTTTTAATTACAACTGTAGTGCTTATACTTGAATTTAGCATGCCTTTAACGTGGTTCATACAATTAGATGTAATGTATGGCTACCATCTGTAGTGTTTTGCATTTATGCCTGCATGTTTGTATATACTGAAATTTTAAAAAGGAAGTAATGAAAAAGGCTGACTCATGACCCTAATTAGCTGCTCCAGAATATGCTTTTGGATGAGTTTTGAGCTACCTGGACATGTCAGTTCCTTCTGTAAAAGGAAGTTAAGCCATCTCTTCCATGGGCCTGTACAGCAAATAATACATATTTGCCACAGCACCTCTTCACAATTTGAACAAACTGAAGGGATTTGGACATAGGCAGTTCTTTGAAGTAAGATTTTTAAAATGAGTAGCTGTTAATATTCTCATCTTAACTATAAGCATTTTTAATATATATATATGCCGGACAGAGTTAGCACATCCTTGAACCATTACCTGAAATAAGTAAAATATAAAAATTAAAGTATAAATGCATAAATTGTATATTGTATAGAGGATCTAGAGGATTATATTATACTATTATAGAGAATAAAAGTAAATATAATAATTCTTATAGAGGATAAATATATTAATTAGTTAAGTAATGGCACTAAAGACTGATAGAACTCATGTTGATCAAAACCTTACTGTCTTATGTATCATTAACTGAAAAGAGTACAACGCTACAGATATTTTTGTGTTCCACTTATTTCAATTTTATTCCCTATTATTATGGCTTTTCAAAAAATCTAATGCTAAAGACCAATTTCAATGTTATTGTTCATATTTAAATAGAATGTCTTAGCATAATCCAGGCTGAGGTTTGCCCTTTTTTTATTGATGATAAAAGACAAAACCTGCCAATTATACAGCCCCATGCAAAAGGCAGGGCACCCCTTCTAATCCTCCTCTCAGACACTGCAAACTATTGTTCTTCATCTGCTTTCCAACAGTCCAGCTGACGTAACCGCAAAAGTTCAATCTTCCCAGGTGCACAGTTATCACACTGCCTAAAATGTTCTCATCTGTCAAATGAAATTGGACTCTATGCAAGAATAGCAGGGAGCTTTTTTTAATGAATTTTTAAAACTGTCACTGCATGGCAAATTTGCAAATTATTTTAGGCAGGAGATTGATTAAAAAAAAATGCACTTTCACAAACGAGTTGTTTCATACCAGTATTAAAAAACCCCCACGTTTTAGAGACAGAAGCAGATCATATTCACTCTTACAACTTGCTAAACACTGCTGCTCTAAGTCAAGGAATGGAATCACTGACTGAAAATAACATTGATTTAGAAAAGTCACATGTGACTAAATTGTGAAAATACTGCAAAAACTAAACAATTTTATTCTCCTTCAAAACAAAGAAATTTTGTAACAGTTATTAAAAAGCTGAACAGGTAATATTTAATTAACAGGAATAAAGAGTTACCTTTAACCACACTTTACACAAGGGAGAGTATAACAGTATACATTACTATAAAATAGTCAGCGGGAGCTGACAACAACCATCAGCACAAATAAGGTACTTGAAGAATACAATATATTTTCTACCAGTGTTCTCCTACTGCAATGACTTATAATCTGCAAGTTCCTAATATTCCATTTACAATGCATATTTATCTAGTAAGCCTGCAATCTGTCTGCTATTACCAAAACCAACTGCAGTAAAATAAGTTTTGCTTGATGGCTTGCAATGAAAGGGCAGCAGCTCCTTTTTACAAGCAATTCTAAAACACTGTTCACTTGCCATCATTTCTGTTCAAGTACCTTGTGTACAGCCACTCAGCTGCTGCAGGGTCGTGTCCAGATATTCATTCAGATAGCTCTAATTTTAAAGGCAAGCGTTTTTTGTTTGCTGATTTCTTTTTCTTTCCCCCTCACACTTCTCCTCCTCCCCCCCCCCTCCTTCCCTGCTTCCCTGTTACACAGAGGGCTACAGCTTGGCACTCATTCTCTCGAGAGAAAGGGCAGACAAAAGGTGACAGCAGATAATCATCATGGCATCAGCAAGTCTGCAGTTCTTTGCTTTTATTCTGGCTTTGTTTGGTGTTTTTGGAGATATTGCGGCCACCTTGCTACCTAACTGGAAGGTAAATGCAGACGTTGGCTCCAATATCATAACAGCTATAACACAGATGCAAGGACTTTGGATGGACTGCACATGGTACAGCACTGGGATGTTTAGCTGTACCCTGAAATACTCCATTCTCTCTCTCCCCGTCTACATCCAGGCTGCACGGACCACCATGGTACTGTCTTGTATCCTATCAGCATTTGGGATCTGCATCACTACAGTTGGAATGAAATGCACCAAGTTGGGAGGGGACAGTGACAGCAAAAGTCACGCTTGTTT